GTGGGGAGCAGGGGGTGGGGGCGTGTAGATAGGGGCAGGGGGTGGCGAGGTGGTGTGGTAGGCGTTGTTGAGCGGATACTTGGCCGGCTGGGTGTTCTTGACTCTGGTGAAGTTGATGCAGCGCCCCTAGGAGAGAATGAGGACATGTGAGTTGGTGGCCCTACAACCGGGTAGCGGGGAGTGTGGTAGGTGGATTGAAAGAATAGTAGAAAGCAGACACTCCACTGGTGATACACAGCAGAACCTGATAACAGACTAGCTTTGTTTCCTTTGCCAGGGCTGTGCTGAAAATTACTTAGTAAAGTTCACTTTTTCCTGGAGTTGTTAATTCCTTTAGGGCGGGGAAGACCCGCCCTGGGTCTTCTTAACTGGACATGCAGGGTCAAGCTGTGTCTGGAGGTAATCATATTTAGTCTCAACAGCCATGCCACTTAGGTATGCTAACCAAGCATCTCCCTTTCACAGATGAGGCTGAGAAAAGTCCTTTTCCCAAGGCCACACAACCCCCAACAGATCCCAGAATGCTTATCCTTTCTGCTATAGTACATTGGTTTCTGAGGAGGAGGTCCTCAAATTTTATAGATAAACGTGACTTATTTCCGTTCATTCCAACCACATTCCAGGAAGCAGGAGAAAGTCGATACCATGAGCTTCTCCTATGCTGTGCAGCAAGAAGCAGTTTGCGACCTGAATTTTCACAGAAGTGTGCTCTTCATACATCTGCGCCCACCATGCTCCTCTGACCCCCTCACCTGCCGATCCCAGAGGGAATTAGGGAGGCAGCTCTCCCTGCTGAGGTGAAAAGACACAAGTCTAACTCCCTCCTTGGGGCACGGGTTCTGTCTCAGCTCACCCTGCTCTTGGTCTGGGCTCAGGAGTCACACTTCTAGATGCTCTGCCCCTGTCCGGGTACTTTTATGTTCCTAAGAAACCCAGTGTGAGGGCATTTGGTTGCCAAACAGGCATATACCCAGAATTCAGCTTTTCTCCCACTCCGTGCAGACTCAGCTGGGCACTGTGGAGAGTCCCTGGAACCTGCACAGCAGACCCTTGGAAGTCTAGGCTGGAAGCCTGCGGCCCTGTCTCCCACAGTGCCACCTCCCTGCCCTTCCCCGGCAGGCACTTGAAGCCTTCTGCCCAACACTCCTGCGAGGGATGGGTCTCTCTCTCCACACTCTCTTTCACCTTTCCCAGAAGACCTTTCCCCCTACGCCAGGGCAGAGTATGGCCACCCTGTGGACTCTTGGTCTCCCTCAGTTTCCTAGGTCTATGGGGCATCTTACTGCTGTCTATTGTGTGTCCTGGTTGCCTGCAGATTCCCCACCGCCAACAGAAGCCAGGTGATGTCACACCTCTCTTCCCCTTTCTCCTTCTGCTGCTCAGATGTAGCAGTTCACGGGTCCGTGGCTGGGGTGTGAGACTGCTCCTGGCCTTGACCTGAGAGTAGATGCTCACTCTGTCTAACCTGAGCGCGAGCTGCCCAGAGTCTGGTTTCCCTTTTTCAGCCTTCTGGGGAGGAGCCCGTAGGGGGAGGCTGTGGAATCTAAGAAACAATTATCTCTAGGACAAAAGGGAAACCTGGGTGTGTGATTTGAGACTTGGCTCAGTTGTGGGGGATGATGAAGCCGTCACACCTCCCCACTCACCCTTCAAGCCGTGTGCCAAGTTCCTTGTCCCACACTGGTCTTCCCTTGCTGACTCTGGCCTCCGATTACCCTTAGATTCCTGAGTTCTCTGGTGACCATCTACACCACAGTGCAGTGTAGCCTGTACACTGCGGTTGTTTTATCTGTAAATGCCCTGCCTCTCTGGCCAGAGGAGAAATTTCTGGAAGGCAGTGCTCTTGTTTTGTACTATGCTGTTCCACAACCCGAAGCCTCCTGGGCTGCTGGGCAGGGTCGAGAGACTCTGGGTCAAAATAGAGCTGTTTAAAGCTGCTTGGGAAAAAGTAGGGACCTAGGCAACATGAACCACGAACTGAAAATTCCTTTACAAGACTGCACTGCTCAGCAAAAGACCAGGCCTGACAGGACTGCCGTGAGCTGAGGAACAACAGGGCTGGGTGTAGAAGCCAGCACCCAGTTCCTCTGAATTTGCGTTTCATGAGACCAAACCAGGACCTACCCTTGTCAGGTTCAGCTTGGGGTCCTCTAGCAACAGAAGTAAGTTACCGGCTCCCTGCCTCAGTCACAATTCCCAGCACAGGTGCCAGCCTTCAGCGTTTACATAAATTTTGTAAACCACCACTTGTAAGTACCGGTTCACCCAAGCAGCTCTCTTTTATAGCTTTATAAATCTAAGCCTTGGTTACAGTTTATTTACGATGCTGAATAAACCTCTTTCCTTCAAGATGTCATAGCCTGCTGGTTGCCATCGGTGATAAATTCCTGCAATGACAGCTCAGAGTTGGGATTTACTGTACTACCTGTTCTGCCCTTCATTCCTAGACATCGACTTGAACCAAGAGGCTCAAGAGATTTGTTTCCTTTAAAGAAGAAGGGAAATTCTGAGGCTGGGCAGAGACCTGCTGGTCCCGCGGCGTAAGGACCCCATCTGGCTTCAGATCTCCTTTACTGCTGGGCACTCAGCTGGCTAAGGGAGGAGGCTAATCAGTCTGGAATCCCATAAACTTGTTCTAGGCAACTGGGACTCCGCTGTTTTTTACCAGAGGCTGTTGTGTCCACAGTCAGGATCAGGAGCTCCAGCCTTCTTCTGCCAGTACTTCTGTTCATAACGCATAGTAAAATTCCCAAAGCTTTTCATACCTAGAGTAGGATTCCCCAAAATGTCTGAAAGGGTCCACCAAAAGCTCCTACAGGATCCACAGAATGAAAGATGACCTCATATCTCTCAGCGGAAGATGAGATGACAAGGCAGCGGGAGACCGGGGGCTCAGGGGAAGGCTGGGAACCCCTTTCCTACAGGAGCACCCCAGGGCTGCACCCACAGGTCTGTGGTTTATCACAGACCTCCATCCAGCTCAGCAGAGGGCAACAGCCCAGAGCTCCCATCAACAGCTGGAGGGGAGGGAAGGGGCATGTTCACCGCGTCTGGCTCCGTTCCTTGGTGGGACGCCCCAGTGTGACATGGTGGGGTCCTCATGCCACCTTCCACTTACAGACATTATGAAAACTCCCTCAGTCACATTGGTGAAGGGTCTGGAGCAGCGTCTGGCTCCTAATGTTTGGTAAACACGTCTGAGTCTAATGTCTCTCTAGACAGGGAGGCAGGTGCTCAGACACAGCAATGACCTTGTCTAAGGTAGGCTGCCAGCTGGAGGTAGCATCAGGTGTTCTGATTCTGGCTTACTGCTTTCTGATGGAATGCAGGCTACCTTCCACACCTGGCCTCTATAATCAAATTGGTAAATAGAATTAAAAAAATGTAGCATGGCATGTGACTGACGCATCCCCCAGAGCCTGCTTTCTCATGTCTCGCTTTCTTTCCTCTGTTGCTGCAGAACTCCTGCAGCTTATTTCTTATAGGACCCCCTACCCCCATAGTGCTTTGCATGCTCAGTTAATCGGTAATACATTCACACGAACTTATCTTCCTGAGAAAAAGGTGCAGACTCAGCATATGCAACCCTGGGGCAGTTTACAGTGAGAGGCACAGTCTTCATACGAGGGGTGTGGCTAAAATTAAGTTCTTAAAACCTGGAGCCAGAGGCGCCAACATAAACACCATAAACACTTAGACCATATAATTGGCCTAAAGATCAGTTTACACGACATTGCTTTTTGCTTGCAAGAGGATAATAGAAAGGCCAGATGTGCTTTCTGTCAAATATGCCAGTAAATCTACACCAGTGTTTGGTTAAAAGGTTGCTAGGACGATCGGAGCTCTCACTCCACAACACTGGTCTTTGTAATCCAGTTTAATTCTCTACACTATTGTTTCTGGGTAGTTTGATTCAGAGCCCAGATTTGGCTTTGACCTCAGTTTACCTTGCCTTCCTTATTAACAACTACGAGTGCCAATTAGTTTCAAATAGCAGCCACAAATTACTCCAGTAAAATTCTAAGATGAAGAGGCAACAGTATCTCCTAATGGGAAGATTATCGGAAATGTCCAGGCACATCATTTTCTTTATTTATTATCACAGTGTATGAGCAAAGTATCATTACCTTCATTACACAGAAAGGAAACAGACACCTCAGACCTATTTAAATAACTTGCCCAAGACTTGCCACCCATGAGAACTAAGATTAAATGAGAGTGGGATTAAAACCCAACTCTGCTTGCCTAAAAAACTCATCTCCTTTTTACTGTGTTATCCTGAGTATCAACAAAAAATGCAAATAATTTCTCAAAGGAGTGTAGATAGCACCATACAGTGTAGCACTTGGTCACAATCTAGCAGCTGTTGACACAGCTGTTAAAGGGTTTTTCCAGAATGTAAACCAACCTAATTCACTTTCCAGCTCAAAATTCTTCATGGGCTTCCTAGTACCTTTAACATTAAATGCAGCTACTATACCTCCAATGCCATAGACAGCCCTTACAAAGTGGTCCTTGCTTACACTTTTCACGTAACTTCTTACTTTTTCACTGTAGGGTTTCCAGCCTGCCTCATGGTAAGCCCTGCATGAACACTTGCTAAATGAAAGAATATAATGTAGCGCTTGGAGCTCTTCTTCTGGCATTTCTCAGCACCAGAGCTGCTCCGCAGTTGGTTGGTGAGCAACTCTGAGGTGGCGTTAGAGTCCTTCCTCCTAACCTAGTGCTGGTATAAAGGTCGCAGGGCTCAAGTTTAAGCTAATGCTTGACATATGATGCTCATGTACCTGTGGGTCTTTGAAGTGCAGCAAAAATTCTTAGAAAGCTCAGATCTTTCCCTGTAAATTTACACTTTTAGAAGTTCAAGGGTCATTAACATGGCTATGAGTTTATGGATTCTTATGTTACCTTCTCCTGACCTCTTTAGACATTTCTAGGATTTTGAGGGATGGGTGGCAAGGATCCTACGTGCTCCTTTTGGTTTCTAGATCCAGCACTCGGGAGGCTGAGGCAGGAGGACCGTTGCGAATTCAAGACCAGCCTGGGCTACAAAGTGAGCTCAAGGCCAGCCTGAACTGCATAGCGAGACCCTGTCTCAAAAAGATAAATGTTAACCTTTATCTTGA